GCCCTTGAATAACATGAATTGAATAAAATAAGCTTATGTCTGAAAATGTGTGGGCAGGAGATGTGGGGGGTGATAGCTTCCAGGTTGCTCTGAGTTCAAGTCCAGCAAGAATCCACCAAGCTGCGATTCACCACACCCGTGATCACATGGGGGTCTTTCAGACCGTGGATACCTGGTTCTTTTTGCAACCCCACGGTGCCAGCAAAGGTTTCGAGAGTCTTATGGGCGTCACCAGGGATCTGATGGGCAACCCCTTTTCTACAGCGACAGGCTGAAGCGGGCCGGGCCTCCCCTCCCTCTTCTCCAGCGACAGAACTTGGGCTGGTCACACGAAGCCGGGTCGGACTGTGTTCACTCGCCGCCTTGCCCCATGACGCAACACGAACAAGGAACTTGCAACTTGTAACCTTCGTGTCGGGAGCCGGGATGACAAAAAGCGTCGTTACACATTCACAGGGTTACCGGCGCCACAGCATCCCCGCGGATGATGTAAGCTGCTTCGCGCAGGGCGCCTGCGCTTTCGGGAAAGCCAGCCGGACCCAGAGCGGGCAGCCCGGCTGCGCTCTTCGCAAGCACCGGTTGCAAGCCGGGCTGAAGGCCCCGGAGCCGCCCTCGACGATCGCGACCGGGCGACGGCGCCGCTTTTGGAGGTCCAGCCCCGAATTCGGCGCGCCAGGCACGGCCAGGCAAGGCAACCCGCCCTCGCGCTCGCGTCCCCTGCCTGCCTGCCGCCCCCTTGGCGCTGCGCTCGGGGCCTCCGGCCAACGCTGCCCCGCGGCCTGGCCGGCGCGCGCCCCCGCGCGCCCCCGCCCCGCCCGAGGCAGGGAGCCCGGAAGGCGAAGCGCAGCCCCGCACTCGGGGGCGGCCTCTGGGGAAACTGAGGCCGGCCTTGCGGGCTGCCGGAACGGGAGAGGAAGGAGGCGGCCTCTCCCCAGCCGGCAGGGAGCCTGAGCTCCAAGCCGCCAGCCCGCGATTGGACCCGGTCTGGTGCAGTGATGAAGGCAGCAGGCTGGAAACCGGAGACCGGGAGCTCTAGTCCCGCCTTAGGCACGAAGCCAGCTGGGTGGCCTTGGGCCAGCCCCTCCCTCTCAGCCCCAGGAAGGAGGCAACGGCAGGCAACCGCTTCGGAAAAACCTGGCTGAGAAAACCGCAGGGACTAGTCCAGGCAGTGGACGGGGTTTTTTTAAAAGTCCGCGCTTCAAGCGGCAATTTCGCCAAGTGCCTGCTCTGCGGGCGTGGGACTACAGTTCCCATATTCCCTTGCCACCGGCTCGCTAGGGCTCAGGGCAAAGTTCCGGGGAAGCCCCGAAACGACTCGCTCTGTTTGTCTTTTTAAAAACTCTTAGCTTGGATGTTTTTCTGCGGGGGGCGGGGTTGCCTAGAGGTATTCTTTCTCTCAACTCTTGACTTGGGCGCTTCGGAGACCCGCTACTTATAATAGAAAAAGCCATTCTGGGGAGGGGCAGAGAAAGGAAGGAAGGAAGGAAGGAAAGAAAGATTGCTCCAACTATCTTCACATACTGAGTAAGAATTGGAAAGCTGGAACTGAAAATACAGGGAAAATGTGCCTGAAAATGAGGCAGTTTGAGATACGTGTAAGATGTTGGCCCAGGACTGTTCATGCTCAATCTTAACAGTTCCCTGGGTGACTTTTGACCAGTCCCTTTTCCTTATTAGCCAGTTATCTGCCAAA